TCAACTAGTTCAAGAGCTAGTGGTCCTGGTCTATTTTTGTCTCTACTGTTTAACCTAAAATGTTTGACAATACAAGATTTATCTAATTCAATAGCGTCAAATACTTCTCCAAAACTTTCATCATCATCTTCTTTAATTTCGTCCTTGCTTTTTTGTTTCGACTCCTTTAATCCAAACACTAGTACATTTTTTTCTTTTTTGATCTTTTCTTTTTGTTCACCTGAAATTGCATTTAATAATCTCGTTTCTGAATTAATAATACAGGGTGCTCCTTTGCTTGTTTTCTTAATAAGACTACTAAAGAGTGGTTTGTTGTTATTTTGATTGCATTGTTCAGCTAACTGTTTTTTTAAACATTTTCGGTATTTAATCTTTCATTTTCTTTCTCGACTTTAATAATGCGTTCAATTAATTCCTTTCTAAGTACCTCAATAGCAGTATTTATTGCTTGAGTTGTATCTTTTGATACTACCATTATTAAAAATTATTTCAAAACACGTGCTCAACTAGGCTGCCATCTTTACGCCGCCATTTCTCTTTAATTAATTAATTTATATAATACATATATATATACATATATATATATATATATATATATATATATATATATATATATATAATACTATATATATATATATATATATATATATATATATATATATATATATATATATATATATATATATATGTATGTATATATATATATATATATATATATATATATATATATATATATATATATATATATATATATATATATATATATATATATTTATATATATATATATATATATATATATATATATATATATATATATATATATATATATATATATATATATATATATACATATATATATATATCAGCAAATATGTAGCAACACATTTTACAACAAATTAATCATAGTAATTTATTGCCTCATCATTGTGTAGCTTTACTATCTGGAGTGTAGCTTTAGTATCTGGAACTTTACTATGTGAAGTTTCAAATAAAAAAAAATTTGAATGGTCTCCTTGACTGTAGTAACTCTAGAGTCTTAAGGAATTTATCACTAACTTTATGAGCCTTAACAAAATGTTGCAAATAGGTTTAGAATTAAAAAGAAAACATGATGAAAACATGCTGGGGATAAACTTAATGAGGCTCTAGAAACAGATAAAACTCTAATACGATGAGGTGGTGATAGAAAAACAGGGGATAGAGTGTAAACAGAGATGGTTTCTGTCCCAGTGTAAAAATTTTTTTTGTAAAACTTGCAACTGTAACACTTTTGCATAAACATATTGCATTAAATTTTTTACATTAAAAAGACAAGAAGTTGTTCATAAAACTTTTCTATATAAGTACTTTATCTAAAATACAAAATATTATTGTAATTAATAATATATATATATATATATAAATATATATATATATATATATATATATATATATATATATATATATATATATATATATATATATATATATATATATATATATATATATATATATGTTAAAAAAAATAAATGTATATTATTTAGTAAAGAGTTTAGTTTAAGATGTTTACATCATAGTTTTTATAAAAAAAATACATGTATTTTTTTATAAAAACTGTTGAACCTTTCATTGGCTTCTTTTTACAATAAATTATTATTTCTTATTGTAATAATAAATGAATATTAAAAAAAATATCTTTTATCTACTTACGATTTTCTTCCAATGCTTTTGCGGTAACAAATTCACCTTCGTCAATCCAACCTGCATATTTTTCAGCTGCCCTTTCAAGAGCTTTTTCAGCTCTTATTCTTAAGAACTCCTCACAATTGGCAGCACGCTCTTTTTCTTTACTGAACTGTCTAATAATAACAGATATAATTATTAAAAAAATTGAATTTGCCATACACGCTATGCAAACATAACTTTGTGTTACATGTGTTATAAAATACAAAAATAATTGTTTGTAATACATTTTGTGTTTGTTACACAAAATATACAAATACTAAATTTATTACACTTGGTGTGTATTAAATACACACCAAGTGTAATAAATGCATTACACATTAACACATAGTTCAATAGTAACACACTTAATTATAACAACAAAAAGCTGAAAACAACATTTACTAAACATTTTGTTTAGCGTACCATGTGATACAAACACACAATGTGTTACATACTTCATGTTGCATGCATGTAGTATAAACACACATAATGTGTTTGCAACACATACTGCAATACTACAAAACATTGAAATGTCTGGAACTTTCTGATAACAACAATTTTGATTACTGAACTTTATTTTTATATTCTAACTGTATGTTAACTGTATTCTAACTCTATTCTAACTGCGTTACAAGCTATCTAATATTCACAAATGCACAAAATGTTCTAAACGTATGTATGTATGTATGTATGTATGTATGTATGTATGTATGTATGTATGTATGTATGTATGTATGTATGTATGTATGTATGTATGTATGTATGTATGTATGTATAAATGTATGTATGTATGTATGTATGTATGTATGTATGTATGTATGTATGTATGTATGTATGTATGTATGTATGTATGTATGTATGTATGTATGTATGTATGTATGTATGTGTATGCATGTATGGATTTAGCCTAACCTTCATTAAAAATAAATAAATAAATTATACAGTTATATAAGGTCATGTATACATATGTATATAAGTACAACACATGTTCTAAATAAAAGTAAGTACTTGCTAAGAAATTATGCTGATTCATAAATATTTATAATTGAGTAATTGTTCATTAATCCTCATGATTGACTCATTTTTTTTTTGTTCATGACTTGATTCTCATATTATTTTTTTTTAAATTTTTTCTTTAAGTAAATTGTTTTCTCTGCTATTATCTTGGTCTCATTATCAAATTTGAATAGAATTGTTCTGTAACTTGTCTTTTTGGATGGAGCTCTCTCTTTAACTAATTCTCTAGATCTTTTACATTGTTGCTTATTTAAATTCTAAAATCTAAATTCTAAAATCTAGGTAAAATATCTCTGTTGTGACCCATGTAAAAGCTGTATATAAAAGTTACATTTTATTTAAATATATACCTTTATCCTCTTTTGATATACAACATTTTGTTTCACAGTGGCTTTTGTAAAGTCACTACTGTGATACTATAATGTGCCTAAATTGTCACTGTTAAAGAAAAAAACAATTTAAAAGTATATTTTCACAATATACTTTTAAATTGTTTCGTGTTACACAATTTATGTACCACAAATAAACCATTATCTGAAAATGTACCATTACCTGAAACTAATTCATTGGGAATACTAATTCTAGAAAAAGATTCTTTGTATGTTTTTCTACTGAATACATCTACTGAATTAGTGCCTGAATGTAAAAAAAACCTTAGATCTATAATAATCAAAAGTAACTTAATAATTTTTGTTAGCCCACTGAAATAAATCAGTACCAATTTTTTTTCATTGTTGTGTTTGAATGTCATGAGCTAGAAGAGGTTCTTTTGATTTTGATTTGAGATACCTCACACATATCTCACACTTTCAAAATAACTGTTCAACTTGATTTTTTAAAAACCAAAAAACAGTCTAATTTGCACATTGCTTGCATTGTCTAATATCTTCTAACCAAATCTCTGTTTTCGGCTAAATTGTAACAACTAAATTAAATTATATGTTAAAATCTTTTTTTGAAGTTTTGTCATTATTTGTGGTTGAGATGCATGTGCATGAGACATTCCATTCGCATCCATAATAAAATTGCCAGTAACTATAGTAACATGCTATATAGTAAATAAAAATCTTAGCAAGTTTTTTTTTTGTTAAATGAATTCTTAAAAAACATATCAAAGTAACACAATAAATCATTGAAAGTAAAATTAAGTAACATTATTATTACAGTAAAATTAAACCCAAGTCAAAGTACAATATAGCATTATTTTAAACATAGCAAAAAATTACCTTGGAAAAATAAAAATGCAATAAAAAAGTAAATGTGATACTGTAAATGTGTAAATGTGACGTAGTGTAGTTAAAAAATGACAATATTAACAAAAATAAGTAACTTTTTTTTTTGTGGAAATTAAGGTGCTCCCAGATACCCTTAAGATCTTAGCACAAAACTACAGTGCCACAGCTGCACCAAATAAAACAATGATTATTTTATACCTACCCACTGAGAACACCACATACCAAATTTAACATGAAATGTGATCCAAGTATATTTAATGAATAAAAGTACAACCACATAAAAAGTCTCTTTTCGTCAAACACTTGAAATATCTAAAAAAAGTGAAGACACAAATAGAATTATTTTTTTGATATTTTAATTTTTATTTTCTTCAGTTTTTCTAAACCCTTACATTTAAAGATAAGAAATTAATTTCATCTCAAAATCTTATTTATCACTGCAAAGATAAAAACTTGTGCCTAATGTAAGGCCAAACACTAATGTCTAATAATCTCATTATTAGCTTTAGATAATAATATTTTAAAGAATGTACTATTTAAACTTACTGTAAGTATATAGCAAATTTACAAATTAGTGATTTTTTAGTTTTAAAATTGTTTTTTATCCCAAAAATAATCAATTTATTCATTCCATTTTTATTGGTTTTTTAGATTGATATAGAAAGAATGTCATTTAGAAATACAAATTCAATTTATGTGGTGTAGGCGAAGAATTTGTTAACCCCAAATTGTTTAAACATATTACTTTTAGGTTAAAATTGTTGTGTAAGAGTAAATATTATATGGTTAGAGCACTAAAAATGGTGAGGAAAAATGTAAAATACAAATTGTTAAAAAAGCTGTTGTGCATGTTTAAACTTTTAAAAAGAAGAACGAAGAAAAATAGGTCAGCTATATTATTTTTTTTAACTTTTGTTTTTATGTTTTCGAAGCTAAACTTTCTAAATAAAAATTAACAATCGTCTAACTTTGAATAACAATAATAAGTATCAATAAATATTTTAAATTAAAATAACAATAAGTAACAATAAATAATTAATACAATGCACAATTTTTTTTTTATAAAACAACGTAAAATAAAAAAAGAAATAGAAATACAAGATTTTATTTTTTTGTTGTAAACTGAAACTTAAACTAATAAATTAACAGCCCACAGATGTCAAAACTATATTATGTTTTGAGTGGTTTTTTCATTTAATTTTTATGCAAGTCTTTAACATAGCATGTGTCATTACACCTATATTCTTGTTTTTTTAAAAATTATATAAATGAAAAGAAAAAAAAAAAGAAGTGAAAAAAAGTGCACAAGTGAAAATAATTTGAAATAAAACTCAAACACAATACAAAAACATGTTACTGTTTGTTATTATGTACAAACTAAATAAAACAAACTAAATAACACAAATTAAATAACACAAACTAAAAATAATTTGATAATAATAAGTAAAATGTAACAACACCAAATACTTTCAAGGCACTAATATAATTAACATAATCATACAATATATTAAATAATAATACAATATAGGGCTGAAAATGGAAACATTTTCATAGCATTTTTTTTTTTTTTTTTTTTTTTTTTTCAATGTCAGGTCAGGTTTTCCTGCTACTGGTAACATGTAACCCAGTACAACCTGCTCCATGTCCTGCTGCCTTGTAGGATACGCTTTTTTAGGCAAAGGCTAGGAGAAGTTAACTCCGAATTAAAACACCCCCTGCCTTGGAGCTCTTGGTTGAGTAAAGGCTAGAGATGGTGTCTCGATAAAAATACTCATCTTGGGCAGATGTTACATGCATCCAGCTGCTGTCTTGTAGAAGGCCTCCTAGGCAAAGACTTAAGGGGTAAACAGATTCTATCTGTTGACCAGCCTCGCACCCCTTCCTCATCTATTAGGCTGGCGCAGATGTATTTTTAATACATTGTTTCCAGTTTAGGATGTTGAACGCTAGATCTTCTTGACTCAATGCGTGGGTATTGCTTGTGTCTCTATTTTTATGACTGGGCAACTCATTCTATTATCTCCTAATGAGGGTACAGCTCTAAAACTCAGTTTTATGGTTCTGAGGCCGGCTGGTAGTCAGGTTTCCCAAACTCTGTGGTAGCTCTCAGAGAGGCTGATTCCATCAACAGCCGAAAAATATCAGAGTACTAACAGTGCCATGTTGCGCATGGATGGTGTCCCTGTTTGTACTTTTGGTGTGCATTGCAGAGGCCACATTTGGAGCCCTTTGTTACGGCTTAGGGTTTATTAATAGTAATGAGGCTATTGCTTAGTTGTTAAATAGTGTACTGAGTACTATCTACACTTGAGTCAAGTTCTTTATAAATTTAAAATGACTAAAGTACCTAAAACTAAAAAACACAAAAAACCATCGTCATACCAAGTTCTCTAAACCTATCATTTACTAATATTCGTGGTCTTCGAAGTAACTTTTCTTCTGTTGAGTCTTATCTCTTGCAAAGTTCACCAGACCTACTTGCTCTTTGTGAGACTAATTTGAGTTCGGCTGTCCCATCTTGTGATCTTAGTGTTGATGGTTATCTTCCTTTAATTCGTAAAGACTCCAATAATCACATGCTTGGCCTGGGCATCTATATTCGTAAGAACTCACCCATTTGTCGTGAAACTAGATTTGAATCTACAGACTATTCATTTATGTGCTTTCGTTTAGCACAACTTCACTCTATCGCCTTTCTCTTTGTTCTATATCGCTCTCCTTCATCCCAAGATTGCACTATTCTTGATGTTATTTCTGATCAAATTGACCAAGCCCTCTTTCTTTATCCATCGGCCAATATCGTCGTTGTTGGTGACTTTAATGCCCATCACACCGATTGGCTTGGCTCTAGTGTCAGTGACTCTGCTGGCGTTAAGGCCCTCAACTTTTGCCTTTCTCAATCTCTAACTCAAATAGTCAACTTTCCAACTCATTTTCCAGACAACCCTAATCATTTACCTTCTCTACTCGACTTATGTCTTGTTTTGGATCCTAGTCAGTGCTCAATCTCTCCACATTCACCCTTAGGTACTTCTGATCACGGTTTGATCTCTCTAAAACTATTATCAAATTCTTCTACTTCATCAGAATCCCCCTATCATCGTACCAAATACAACTACCTTAAAGCTGACTGGGACTCTTTCCGTGATTTTCTTCGTGATGGCCCTTGGGTAGAAATCTTTCGTCTTCCTGCTGACAAATGTGCTTCTTACATAACTTCGTGGATTCAGGCTGGCATGGAATCTTTTATTCCCTCTCGACGATTCCAGGTCAAGCCTCACTCTTCTCCTTGGTTTTCCTCACATTGCGCTGCAGCAATTTCTAATCGAAACCGTTACTTCCATATCTATCAGCAAAACAATTCTCCAGAAAACAGACATCTGTTCACTATCGCCAGAAACCATTGTAAAAAGGTTTTGTCTGACGCCAAAGCTCGGTATTCCCAGGTCATTAAATCTCGTATCTCATCACAAAAATTAGGCTCTCGAGACTTCTGGAGAATCTTTAACAGTATCAATAATAAGGGCAAATCTGTTATTCCTTCTCTCTTGTATGGTTCAGACTTTGTCACCTCACCTAAAGACAAAGCTGAATTGTTTGCTAAGAACTTTTCATCAATATCATCTCTTGATTCCACTAGTTGCGTTTTACCTGACATAGCCGTCAAACAGGTTGATCCCTTGCTTGACATTCGCATCACTTCAGCTTCTGTATCTAAAGTAATTTCCTGCTTAGACTCTTCAACAGCTTGTGGTCCTGACAACATTCCTGTTGTAGTTTTGCAGAGGTGTTCTCCGGAGCTTTCATCAATACTTTCTAAACTATTTAACAAGTGCTTATCAGAGTCTTGTTTTCCATCATGCTGGAAAGCAGTATCTGTTATCCCTATTTTCAAAAATTCCGGAGAGCGATCTGATTCATCTAACTACCGTCCCATTAGTCTTCTTCCTGTCATAAGCAAGGTTTTTGAATCTTTAATCAACAAACACTTAATCTCTCATCTTGAATCAAATAACTTACTTTCTGATCATCAATATGGATTTCGGTCTTCTTGTTCTACAGCTGATGTGCTAACAGTAATAACCGATAGGTTTTACCGTGCATTAGATAGAGGTGGAGAGGTTAAGGCTATCGCACTTGACATTTCTAAAGCTTTTGATAAAGTTTGGCATGCTGGTCTTCTCCATAAGCTTTCTTCTTATGGTGTAGCTGGTAACGTCTTTAAGATTATTGAGTCCTTTCTTTCCAATCGTAGTATAAAAGTTGTCCTCGATGGACAACACTCTTCTTCACATTCTGTAACTTCAGGGGTTCCTCAAGGTTCAATCCTTGGCCCTATACTCTTTTTAATTTACATTAACGATCTTCCAGACATTCTCACATCTAAGGTGGCATTATTCGCTGACGACACTACCATTTACTCTTGTCATGATAAGAAGCCTACACTCTCTGATTGCTTGGAGGGGGTATCTGAGCTTGAAAAGGATCTCACTTCTGCTACAGCATGGGGCTCACAGTGGCTGGTGAACTTTAATTTAGATAAAACTCAATTTTATTCGGCCAATCGTTATCGTAATAATTTAGATCTTCCTATATTTATGAATGGTAATGTACTAGATGAGTCATCTACCATTCATCTTCTAGGATTAACTCTTATTTCTGATCTTTCTTTTAAACCGTATATCAAATCCATTGCAAAATTAGCATCTGCTAAGGTTGCATCTCTTTATCGAGCTCGACACTTTCTTACTCCAGATTCTATTCTCTATCTCTATAAATCTCAAATCCGTTCCTGTATGGAATACTGTTGCCACATCTGGGGCGGATCTTCTAATGATGCTCTTTCTCTTTTAGACAAGGTGCAAAAACGAATTGTAAACATAGTTGGACCTGCTCTGGCAGCCAATCTCCAACCTTTGTCACATCGTCGTAATGTTGCTTCTCTTTCTCTTTTCTACAAATACTATAATGGGCACTGCTCTAAAGAGCTAGCGTCCCTTGTGCCATCTACTAAAATTCATTCTCGTGTTACTCGCCATTCAATTAAGTCTCATCCTTTTTCTGTGACTGTTCCTAAGTGTTTCAAAAACTCTTATTCTTCTAGTTTTTTTCCTCGAACATCAGTTCTTTGGAATTCGCTTCCTTCATCTTGCTTTCCTGATTCATATAATTTGCAATCATCAGTCAATCGTTATCTTGCTCTACAGATTTAGTCTTTTCTCTTCCAGTAACATCCAACTCTTATAGTGGTTGCTTGCAGCCTTGTTGGAAGTGAAGATGTTAAAAAAAAAAAAAAAAAAAAAAAAAAAAAAATTGCGCATCACACTGAATGGCTTGGCTCTATTAACACTCACGCTTCTGGCAAATTTTTGTACTTTTCCATCTTTTAATCAGATAGTAAAATTTGTAACTTGTTTTCCATACAACCTTAATCACTTATCTTCACTATTACTAAGGTAGTTCAGATCATACTATGATTTCACTAAAACTTTTATCTTGCACTTTCTCTACAGATACACATTACCCTCACACCTCTTACTACTTGAAGGTGATTAATTTATTATGATTTCTTTTGTTCCTTGGGCTAATGTCTTTTGTCTCTCAACTAAAAGCTGCTGCTACTACATAATCTTCTGAATTCAGGCAGGTATTAAGACATAAATTCTAATTGGTTTTAAGTCAAGCCTCACTCTCACCTGATTGGTTTTCTTTTTCTTTTGCAGATGATATTTCAAATTTTAATCATTTGTTTCATCTTTTTTTTAAAAAACAACTGCTATAAGAGCAATCATCTATTTATTGAGAAATAGATGCAAAAATGATTGAATTATTTTTATGATATTAAGAAACTTTATGGAAATCTTTACCCATCTCATTAATAAAGGTATGTCTAACATTCCATCTCTCATACATGGGTCTGATCTTATCAGAGTTAGGGTTGTTACATTATAAAAATACTAAAGTAAAAAGTAAAAGTACTGGATCTTAAAGTATCAAAGAAAAAATACATATACTGCTAAACCAAAATACTTAAGTAAAAATTAAAGTAAAATATGTTGAAAGTATTTTTTAATTACAAACAAAAAAGTTAGATTAAAAGGCACTCAAATCACACCTAAAGTTATTTCTAAAACTCAAAAACCTGCTAAAGTTCTTACTTAAAATCATCTCTAGTTCAGACTAAGCATCTGCACCTCAAAACTGTACAAGGCAAAATGAGACAAAACGATAAAAAGATTTTAAACAATTTCACAAAAAAATTTCACAAAAATACAATACAAATTGAAACAAAAATTTCTTGTTTTGTAAATCTGGTACAAAACGAAATAAGGTTAAACTAAATAAGGTACGAAATAAGGTTAAACTTTTTAGTTAAACTTTTGTTTACAAAACATAAAGTTAGTGTGGGTTCGTAAAATATCTTTTTGAGGCAGGGGAATTATGAAATGTTCCATAAATACTGATAGGAAACAAAACAAAATTTTCTTGTTTCATAAAAATACGGTACGAAACGAACCAAGCTATTTGTTTTGTGAAAATACAATACAAGCAATATGATATTTTTTTGTTTCGTAAAAACGCCACGAAACAAAAATTATTGTTTTGTATCGTATCAAACTGAACTTCCGAGAGCATACAAGAAGATGCAGATGCTTAGTTCAGACAACATTCTAGTCATAATGTTGTAAAAAATTTTTCTAGAACTCTTTTTAATGATGGCTCTCTAAACTTTCAACAAGTGCTTGAATCTTGTTTTCCCGCCTTTTAATAATAATAAAAATAATTTGAAAATGGCATCTGTCGCTATAAATTTTAAAAATTTAATTTATACTTAATAAATTTCTCTGATTGCTAAAACTATTGCCTTATCATTTTTTTTTTTTAATTTCAAGGCCTTTGGGTAGTTCCATGTTAAATGACAAACACATTTTTAAAAATGCCACCCTATAACTCTGATTTTTCTGATTTTTAAACAATTGAGAGTACTTGGCAAAATAAGAATTCTTTAAAAATTTTTGGCTTCAAGAAGATATTGAGATATGACCATTTTACTTTTAACAGATGTTGGCCAGGCCCTTTTTATCCTTTTAAAATTGCAACATTTGTTTAGAGATTTCAAGTCACATAACATTAAAAATATTTAATCTTTTTACTCAAATATTTGTATCTGGTTATTTTTAGGAGTGGCAAATCTAATGAAATGATAAGAAAGGTAAAAAATTATTGTTAAGTACTTGTAATTAATAATTTAAATAAATTTAGGCAATTTTTTATATACCTGTTTTTAATGCTTAAAAAACCTATATGGTCTTGATGATATCAAAAAAATATATATTACACATTATTCTATATTCATTGATCTTTCAAAATGATAAAGATTTTGATCTGCAAGTATATGGATTTCCATATATGGATAATGGGACACAGTCCCTACTTTTTAGTAGTGGAATATTGCAATTGATTTTTCACTACCTTTCAGACTAGCTGGAGCACAAAAAATTTTGGTATTTTCTGTAGTGCCAATGAATGTGCATGTTAAAGTTACTTTTAGTGCCCCAAGACATTCAGGGGGGGTTATTGTGACAAGTGCCCCACTTTTTTGTAGTGGAATTTTGTGATAAATTTTTCACTACTTTCCATACAAATCGGAGCTCTGAAAATTCCAGCATTTGTGTAGTCCTAATGAATGTGTGTTAAAATTGTTTTCAGGGCAGATGACCAGAGAGCTGTTCACTGGGGAAGATATCGCACTTTTCTCAAAATAATTTTTTTTTTGCATTTTTGATACAGTAAAGAATACTTTGAAAATATTCTTTTCAAAAAATTTTTTTGGTTTATATCTGCTCCACTTGGTTTTTGTATTCAATGATCTTTCTTAAAATGTTTTAAGAAAGCACATATGTCTATACGATTTTTGACTTGCAAATATATGGATTAAAAACACTAATTCATCTAAAACAATGATTTTAACAGAATTTTACACTGTATAATTTAAAACTTTTTGAAATGAAAGAAAAACAGACAGAACAACATTAATCTTTAAAAGAACAACAATTGGTAAATACATATTGATGTTATCAGAGGCAATAAACAAATTAACAGCTCATTCCTACATTCCAAAAGAAAAGTTATTTAAAGACTGTATTATCCTAGGTGGTTTTGCAGAAAACTACACATTTTTAACTCAAGATGAAATCTTAAGTTAGCATTGGTGCCAAAGTCAATGCAAGTTACATCCTGTTGCCCTCTATTTATTAAACGAAAATGAACAGCCTAAAGAAAAATCATTTTGCTTCATGTCAGAAGGTAATGAGCATGACATCGGTTTTGTGTATGAAGTTCAGACACAGCTAATTATTTAAAGGAAAATCATCCTAATATTTTAAAGATTCTTTATTTTTTAGATGGCTGTGCTGAATAGTATAAAAACTACAAAAATCTTTACAATATCTGTTTCATTAAAGAGTGAAGCAAGGGCTATTGCTCTTGACATACTAAATGCTCTCAATTAAGTGTGACATGCTGGTATTCTGTATAAACTATTTTCAAATGCTATATTTTGAAACTTTTTAAATTATTGAATCATTCTTTTATAACCATAGTATTTAATTCTTTTATAAAAACCATATATCAAATCCATTAGAATTTAGCATTTGTATCAAGGTCGCCTCTTTTTATTGTGGTTGACATTTTTGCCTACTAAAATTATATCGATATACAATTTTAAAACTTTGGCATGTAAATTTATTAAATGGTAACATGCAAGCAGTGAACACCTGAGGGAAAAATAAAGTACATTAAAATTGATGAGAGATTTCTGAACTATAAAACTATTAAAATCATATAAATATATACTCATTATGTAGTTAAATAATAAATTACTAAAGTTCGACAAAGCTAGCAAGATATGAGTTATAAGTTTTGATAAAGTTGACAAAAAATTAAAATAACTTGAACAACACATACCGCATACATAATATCTGTCCAACCTTCACCAGTAATGCACTGAAACACAGTAATACACCCCAAAAAAATATTATCAAAACTTGTAATTCCATCATTTGGACCTAGCCAAGACTGTATACACACTGTATTATCAGGACAATGTCTTCCACTACTGTTATTTGGACCACATAACCAACCATCTTTCCAGATAGCTAATAATAATATTTCAACATAAATATATATATATATATATATATATATATATATATATATATATATATATATATATATATATATATATATATATATATAGTATATATATATATATATATATATATATATATATATATATATATATATATATATATATATATATATATATATATATATATATATATATAGAGAGAGAGAGAGAGAGAGAGAGAGAGAGATATATAGATATATATTTATATACATACATATATATATACATATATATATATACATATATATATATATATATATATATATATATATATATATATATATATATATATATATATATATATATATATATATATATATATATACATACATTCATATATATATATATATATATATATATATATATATATATATATATATATATATATATATATATATATATATATATATATATATATATATATATATATATATATATATATATATATATATATATATGTATCTTTATCATGCAAATATATTGACAAAACTCATGTTTTATCAGCAGTATCATAAGCAGATAGGCTCTTGATTGGCTTGATGTTAATTACTAAAAAATTCACAGAAAATATTTATTTTTTCTATTTTCTGTGGAAATTTTGCAAAATCTAATAAATTAAACAATTGGTCTATTGATCTTTATATTACCACACATATTCATTTACTATAATTAATTTTTATTTATTTTTAAATACTTTATTTACTATAATTACATACTATAATATTACTATACATATTTTTTTACTAATTAACCCGCTATATAAATAAATCTAGAAATAAGTTTTTTATTGAAAATTTCTCTATCCAAACCAAAACCCTGAGGCAATCTACCACTCCACTGAGAGAAACCTATGTTGTAAAACCTATGTAAATACTGTGCCTATTCCTATTAAAGTCAGTTAATAAATGTTTGTTCCTTGCACCTGACCCTATATCAGTCAATAGACAGCCTCAATACAATAAAAGCCAATTCACATGAAACTTCAAACAGTTCAAAAAAAATTTAAAACAGTTCAATAATAATAACATGAAATTTTACCAAAACTAGAGTTTCATCAAGACTGAACCTGTGTCATGATCTTCATGAAACACCATAAATATCCACAGTGCTATGCTAACTGACTATACATGAATATCAAATTATTTTAAAGTAGATTTTCAATAATATTTGACCTACATGTACTAGAATTTTTATGGAAAATTAAAACCTTGTTTGTTCTAGTTTTATTCCAAGTTTATTTTAAGCTTAACAAATAAATCAAGTTTTATTTAAAAAATTAATACTTTCACCACAACAACGTAAAGATTGGAAAAAATTGTTGGCCTCAGACACTGTCAGGTCGGCAGTATAATCAGTAGCGTAGCGAAAATAATAGGCTTCCTTGCAAAATTTTTATCCAGGCCCCTAAACTACTTCACTGCTCAAACCCCACTCCCTTTTCTTTTCTAGAAAAATTATACATGAAAACAAAACCTTTTAAATACAATTTTGATTTAATTAAATAGAAAAAAAGAGATGTTACACTATGCAAGTATAGTAAATGGGAAATCTAGAGAAAGCTTTTTTCTTTTCTTTATAGCTGCAAATTGGTTTATAAAATCTTATAAATTTAATTGAGCTGCTTCTTTAGTATATATTATATATTTTATATATATATTATATATTATATATTATTTAGTATATATATATATTCTTTCTGCTTCAGTAGCTGTTAGGTCTAGTGCACACAAAATGATTTGCACCATTGTTGTCTGTAAATGTGTTTTAATGTACTTAAGGATCTTTTTGCAGTTGCTATGCTAATGGGTAATGTTAAATATAACATAAGTGCTGCTATTATATTTTTAAATAAGCAACATATATCATAATATGTTATTGTGGACAGGGGTAAAATGCAAAAATGCAGTGAAAATGTGTATAATGCAGGCAATAAGTGCAGAAAATTTCTCTTAAGCCTAAGCTTATCGCTGCCCCAACCATAACACTCAATCAATGAATATAAATTCAATTTTTTTAGTCTTTCGCAGTATAACAGATGTCTCAAGCTGGAAGTCCATTTTGTTGCTTTGCATTAAATTGATTCAACCAAGGTTTTATTAGTTTTTAAATAAGAAGCCCAAATAGACACTGCATATTTATGATGTGGTCTAACAAACACTTTATACAACTTGAGAGACATATTTTCATTAATGAAAGTAAATGTCTTTTTGCATACCAAGAACTTTTAAAGTCTTTAGGATAACTGTTCAAAAATGTGTACTCCACTTGGGGTTACATGAAACAATGACTTATATATTATGGACTTAAGTAGAGCTTCTTAGGGATTGATTTATTATACCTTTTTGTTTTGTTTCTTATTTATTCCAAAATATCTTAATTTTAACACAAGTCTGTTTTGAGGTAGAGAATCAACGCTTTGGAGAAATTGGGATTACGTCAATAAATTGGTGAAATACTATAGAAAATGAAATAATATCATAAATCTTTATTAGATTAGTCACACTTAGTTTATGGTGAAAAAAGCAATGTTCATTTGCAGAGGGCATTTTATTATTGTTTATGTGCTTAAAGATTTTGTTCTTAACAAGTATTTTGACTACTTTGCAGGCAACAGAGTTTAGTGAAATAAGTAGATAGTTCTCAGCAAGTAATTTATCTTCCGTTTTTTATAGACCAAACTATTATTCCTTTGTTAATTTCTAGAGAGTGATTATTATTCCGAAACTAAAGAATTTATGAAAGATTTTTGTAAATGGAAAGAATATTTATAGGGGTTTAGATTGGTAAGTTAATAATGTCTGAACCCATCTCCTTGACATATATATATATATATATATATATATATATATATATATATATATATATATATATATATATATATATATATATATATATATATATATATATATATATATATATACATATATACATATATATATATATATGTATATATATATATATATATATATATATATATATATATATATATATATATATATATATATATATACATATATATATATATATATAAAGTTTTATTGCTATCTTTGTGTAAGGCATTTCATCTGTTGCAAGCATTAACATCAAACAATGAAGAATCAGAAAGATATAATAACTTTGGGAAGACATTTTCATTTTGCAATTTCGTTTAACTTTTAAAAATTAATTTTTTTCAATGTATTTATCCAAATTGTTTTTGAAAGATTTTGTGCTTTGCTGCATGACAAGATTATCTGGTAATGAATTCCACATGGAAGCAACTCTACTGTTAAAGTTTAGTACAGCTCTTTATTATTTCTCTGCGGTATTATAAATATTGGTCAGCTCATGGATAAACCTTCATAGGTTTTTGTGCTAGACTACATTATTTTTAAAATTCTTTAGTTTGTATTTTTTACTTAGATCTTCCAATTGGCATCTATTTTCTAATGATAAACATTTAATAACAGAACAGCTAAGGTTAAAAATATTGTGTGGCATCTTTGAGGCATATTTTTTATTTTTTTCTTATTTTAAATAGGGTTGACCATGTTGACACTGCATACTCAAAATGTGGACACACCTAAATCTTATAAAGTTTACTCCATATAGTAGCATTTTTAGATATAAATGTATATTTTAGAATTCCAAGCATTCGATTAGCTTTATATGATGCTTTTGTGCTTGTTCATGGAACTTAGATCAGATGACAATATTATACCCAAATCTTGTTCAGTTAATGTTACTTCAAGCTTAATTCTCTGGTGTGTACTAAGGTCATTTAAATAGTAATCAAATTTTGGTAAACTAGAACTTCTTAGAACATGCATTACTTTACACTTACTTTCATTGAGTTGCATTTGCCATATTTTTTTCCATTCTGTAATCCAATTGATATCACTTTGCAGTCATTTACAGTCTTTTTATTTTTCAATTATGGCAAGTATCTTTATGTTATCAGCATACATTTTACAAAAGTTTTTTATCTTATTAGGCAAATCATTAACATATATAATAAACAAAGCAGGTCCTAAAACAGAACCTTGAGGAACACTGCTTGTGACAGAAACCTAATCAGATATTGTTTCTGATGTGTTTATGCATTTATCTTTTTAAATATGAATGTTGTTGAGGGTATATATTTATACAAGAACAAATTACTGAGTGTGTCAATAAAACTTGTTTCTATTGGTTTGCTTAATCCTTTGAAGTTTGTTGAATAGTCACCATTTCGAACAATGTTAGAACACTTGAAATAACCTGTAAATAATAGCCCCAAAAAATTACTATTAATAGAATCTTTAGCTAAAGTTATACAATTGTTAATTTTATTGGCTGTTTTTTCCAGCATTTTTGGTGGGCAATATATACAACCAATCAGCAATATGTTATTGCTGCTGATTGGGAGGGAAAGCCATAATTGTTAAAAATGTTTAAAAGTAAAGCAAGAATGAATTTGAGAAAAGCTAAATTCAATTACATTTAGGCAAGTTCTTGAGTAAATAGCAACTCCTCCATGACCATTTCTTTCATGTCTGAAAAGATCATAATTTTTTATATTCAGAGATAATATTTTATTAAACCATGGTTTAGTAATAAATATGTTTAATATAGATATGGAGTAATATCAGATAGTACAGTAATTTTTTAAAAATTTTAAATTTGTATAAAAAAATCTTTAAAGAGTGATTATCTTTTGATTATCTTTTTAATATTATTAAATTTTATAAAATGTTACTTTTAATTGTTTACTATAGAATTTTCGCTAAAAGTTTTGTATTTGTATCAGCTTCTGCTTTGGTATCAGTGAATGGGTGGTTTTTTTTTACATTAAGTGGGTCTGTGAGACATCAATTCAGTGGACCCAGTCACTGAAAATGATAAATCTAAAGGGCTGATATATTATTTTGCATATACAATAATAGAATATTATTTTGCATAAATCTTCATTAGCCTCCTGTATATCTTTGAATAACTTAATAAACTCAGCTTGTTCAGCTAAATTTCTTTCAAATATGAATGTTTTTCTAGGTACTTTACAAAGGTGTTTGGCAGCTGCAATTACCTGGTTGCATGCATTGCTATTTTCAAATTCAACTATAACTGTTGGTTGTGGTTTTACATTTATTTTTAGGTTTGAACTAAATACTTTGACATTGGCATTAGAACTTAGTGAATGCAAAATATCTTGAACTCTCTTAGTTTCTTCTTCTTTTTTTTTCAATTAGATTACTTTTAATTAATGTGTTTTAGTTTTTTTTTAATTCTAATTCCAACAAGTCTGCCACTTTTAACACAAACCGCTATTAAGTTTGGAGTTACTAGGAAACTAAGAATAGATTTAAAGAGCAAGGAAATGGTTGACAGAAGACTTGAAAAGTTTCAGGTTGTATGAGTCAGGAAAATATAAAGATGGGAGAGAGTTATATATATACATATATATACATATATATATAAATGTATATATATACATATATATATATACACATATATACACATGTACATATATATGTACATGTATATATGTATATATATATATATATATATATATATATATATATATATATATATATATATATATATATATATATATATATATATATATATATATATATATATATATATTACATGATTTGGTTTTTGAAGCGGAATCGCTTCAAAAACCGTTTAATTGCAACACAATAAAAGTCAGCTGCACAAGCAACATAGCAAAAGTTATAAAAAATCACAACAGTGAAGTTATTTTGATGAATCCAACTACCGTTTTAGCTTGCAATTGTAAACTAAATGAAACCTGCTCTATGAATGGTGATTGCAGAAAAAGAAATGTAATTTATAAGTGCATTGCATCATTCCCAAACACACCCAACAAAACATATATAGGTTTAACAAAAGACATTTTTACATAATCAGTTGACTTTAAAAAAATTTAAAAACAAGATTAAAACTTTTTTTATTCATCAATAAAAAGATTGCATGCCCTGTGAATTCTATGGTTTAGGGTTTAGGTCAAGCAAAAAAATGTTTCATGATAACACCTTAAAATTAATTCCTTTTTTTTTTTGCTTTGCAACTCTCGGCTATTGTTCAATAAAATTATTAAAAGTCTTTTTTGCAAAGACAAAGTAAAATCATTTTTTTAAAGCTACTATACACAAGCACTCATTTAATTATAGATCATAAATTGAGCATTTGTTTAATAATAGACATAAACAAGGCATTGTTTTGAGAGCTTCTGTTATTAAACCAAATGTATTTGGAAAAAAACTACTAAACATTGCAGTTTTCTAATCATGAATGAAGGCTTGTAGTTTGTCCTACATTTTTTTCTATTTACTTTCTGATAGACCAATATACTTTGTCCAATACACTTTGACGAAAAAACTTTGTCCAATACACTTTGTCCAAATTGTTTGGGGAAGACGCTATGTATAATTATAATAAAAATTTACAAAATTTCAAAAATATTTTTAAGTTTTTAAATTTTTTCTAGCTTTCTATATTATCTTTTTTTTAAAAAAAAATCCCTAATGTTAAAATTTCATGGTAAAAATTAAAAATGACCATGCAATGGTATATATATATATATATATATATACATATATATATATATATATATATATATATATATATATATATATATATATATATATATATATATATATATATATATATATATATATATATATATATATATATATATATATATATATATATATATATATATATATATATATATATATATATATATATATATATATATATATGTATGTATATATATATATATATATGAAATAAAATCTAAATTATTCACAAAAAAAGGACACTTAAAGTGTATTAATGTGTTTTTGTTTCGCACTGCACAAATCTTGTTTTCTAACTCTAATAAATTAACTAATGCTAAATTATTGAAATTTTCATACTATTGTTGGATGTAAAAACACATGTTTGATGAAACAATCCTTGAAACAGTGACATCCCAATAATTGCATATATAATTATAACAAAACCAACAAGAAGAAAAATCTCCATTAATGAACCCATCGATTTCAAAATAGCACTTAAAACAATTTGTAAACCTAGAAAAAAATATAAATTTTTTAAATATTTTTAACTTCACAACATCAAAAAAATAGACATAGTATTGTGAAAACAAAAAAAACAGGCTCAATCACTTTGATGGGAGATTTGATTTTCTAATATTTACTGATTATTTAAATCTTAAAAAAATACACAAAAAAAAATTTAAAGTACTTAACTTCATGTTTATCATGAAATGGTATCGATACGCCTATTTTAAAACATTAATCAACTCCTTAAATTAAAACCACAAATATGACAAAGTTTGACCTGATTAAATTCAACCTAAATATATAGTTTCCTTATTTGGTTTCCAATTTTTATTTATCAAAACTTTTATTTATTAAAAGTTATCTTTATCTTTTATAATAACATCATTTTAAAATGTTATTTTAAACAAAAAATTATATTGACAGTGTACCTTGTCGTAACTTTGTAAAAAACAATCTTGGAGTGGTATGTAAACAGATTATAGATGTCACATTATTTTTATCTAAATGATAAAAATAATATGACATCTATAATCTGTTTCATGATTGCTTTCCACTTATTGGTTTCACATAATATTTGGAGCTGTATATGTTTGTCTATTCCTTTTCCTTTTAATGACTCCTGAAGGATTTTCCAAGCCAAGTATTGCTTTAGATGTTCAGTATTGTTTTCATGATTGGGCTAAGCATTATACAATTTTTTCCATGGTATTTTTTTAAAGGGAAAACTCTACATGGACTAAATTGCTCAAATTGTTGTTAATTCAATCACAAAATTATGGCATGCTAGAAATTAAAGTTTTTATTTTGTTATACTTAATGACAAGCATTCTTTAGGAAAATCTATTGTTAATTTATTTTTTATTTTTGTAAACAACAAAGGTTCATAAAACTTTCTTCTGTGTAGAGCTCTTGGCAAATTTTCATAAATCCGCTTAATTTATCAAAGCTGTAAGAAATTACTATACATTAGTATGTACCAGGTTCATTAAAAGCTCAAAATTCTGATTTGATTAGAACCAGAAGCATTATCTAATTTTAAATCTTATTTTACCACACTTTTCTCTTACGCTTTTACCGCTTTTCTCTTATGCTTTGTTTTTCAGATGCAACAGACACATGTGCATTTCCTTTGCCTGATATTTTAACTGATAAACTTATAATATTCAGCTTATAATATATGATCTTTAGCTTATAATATATGATTTTTAGCTTTTAATATTCAGCTTATAATATATGATCTTTCAGCTTATAATATATGATCATTCAGCTTATAATATATGATCATTCAGCTTATAATATATGATCTTTCAGCTTATAATATATGATCATTCAGCTTATAATATATGATCTTTCAGCTTATAATATATGATCATTCAGCTTATAATATATGATCTTTCAGCTTATAATATATGATCATTCAGCTTATAATATATGATCTTTCAGCTTATAATATATGATCATTCAGCTTATAATATATGATCTTTCAGCTTATAATATATGATCATTCAGCTTATAATATATGATCTTTCAGCTTATAATATATGATCTTTAGCTTTAACATCAATGCTACAGTAACCCTCTTTACAATCCTCAATTTTCTGTTCTGTTCTGTTTTTTTTCAGATTGGTAAAATTTGGTTATTGATTGACTCTAGCACTGGGGCCCGGAGGTAAATATGTAAATATATATATGTATGTATGTATGTATGTATGTATGTATGTATGTATGTATGTATGTATGTATATATATATATATATACATATACATATGTATATATATATATATATATACATATATATATATGTGTGTGTGTATATATACATATATATTTATATGTATATATACACACACACACACACACATATATATATATATATATATATATATATATATATATATATATATATATATATATATACATATATATATATATATATACATATATATATATATATATATATATATATATATATATATATATATATATATATATATATATATATATATTATACATAATTATACATTAGAAATAAAGACATAGCAAACTGAAGCCTTAAAGTACTTATACTGACATTTTGTCATTAATATGAAATCTTTGTATTTATACTTCATTTGTGTATTTTTGACACTTTTACCCAATTAAAGGTTATGTCGATAAAAACTTTTAATTATTTGGATAAATTTAAACTTTTTGGGATAAAAATTAAAATGTATTTTGAAAAAATATTTTAAAAATAAAATTAACAAAATACTTTTTTTGTCATCTTCAGCAACCAAACAACAGCTGGTTGGTGGTTAAAAAAATTCTTCTTCAAACAACAGCTTGTTGGTGGTTAAAAAAATTGATTCCATGTTGAAAGCATGTTGCGTCTTAACAAGCTTTTTAGATATTTTCTGCCTAATATTACATTTTTTAAAATCGCTAGGTAGTTTTTAAATGGAGAATACTTTTAATTTTTGTAAAACTTAAGAGATCAAGCTGATGGTTAACGAATATGTTATTAAAACTAGGTTATGATATGTCAAAAATACCCAGAAAAATTTAATTTTCTAGAGATTAGATTATCGGATTCTGTAGTTGTTGGGATAATAATGTTCGTGGACTGCATAGGTTTGACACAGGCTATGTTTGCTTGAGTATTATTATACGCGCCTGAAATATAGTTATTGCAGGTTTGTACTACTGTAACAGTTGTAGTTTGTGTTGCAGCTTCACATGGTGTTACAACACCTGGATAAAAACTGAGCAATTTTTTAGGGGTGGAGATTTTTTTATTTGAATTAATGTGCAACCACTTATTCCACACTAATGTGCAATACATATTCCACTCCCAACCAGAAGTAGTCGCATTACTCTCAACGCCATAACCTTCTTCTAATTGTCTTTGAAACGTTACCAGGATATTCTCCGGTAATAATGATTCCATTTTTTTCAAGCACCTCAAGAAAGTAAACTGTCAAGGAATTAAAAGAATTACAAGATCTGTTAATGGATCGCCCAAGAACATAGTCAGGTGGATTTACATGGTCTAAATTGTAATGAGGCTGTGCTCCTGGAAATAATAACCAGGTTTATCAAATTAAATACAGATTAAGCAGATACAAAACAATCATAGGTCAATCAAAATCTAAAATTTTGTGTCATTTCTTCATTATATATTCAAAACACTTAATAGAGTAGCAATTATTTACCTGTAGATCCAAAACTTGCTTAGCAAATTATTCACAAACTTTCTATGAGCTACCATATCGTTTTTTTCTTTATCGTTTACATATAAGTCGATGCTCTGTTATATGTTGCTTTTCTTTAATGTCTAAAATTTTTTTACTTTGCTTGGTACATTGTTTTGGCAAAAACCATATCCTATTTTTGCTGCTTTAATCAAAAAGTCTTTTATTCTTTCTTTGTCCTCATTTTCTAAAGCAGGTTTGCAACCTTAAAGTAAAAAAAATGTTGCCTTCTGAAAAAATCTTATGCAATTTTATTGCTTATGGAGAATTACATCTAGCATAGTAAGTAAATAAATATTTTAAACAGCACTATCATATCTTTTGCTTGGCGGCACCGTATCTTTCATTTATTCTATCACCAATTGTCTGAGAAGGTACATTATACTTTAAACTTGTCTTTCTCCATGAAAAATGATTATCTCAAACATCAGCAACAGCGGTCATAACAGCTTCTTTGTTATATTTTTAGTACTTCCATCTTTTCTTAGAGTCCATAGTCACGATAACAAACTTGGTTAAATAATTGTAACTTGTATATTCCATTGTGATGATACTATATTTTTAAAAAGTTGAAATTTGAATTCAAATATTGCTTAGTTAAAAGAAATCCAGCCATGCGGATAATTTTGAAGCTGTTGCTTTAATTTTTTTGTTTTGTCTTAAAAACTAGCAACCTTAAAAATGCTTTTAAAGATAGTTAAAACCATAAAAGTATTCAAAATCATTGTTAGGTAAAAATAAAATAATGCACAATTTTAATACTGTTTAAATTGAATTTCAGGCATAATGCACAAAATATGATGCTTTCAATAATTCGTGCAGAAATTTTTTACATCAAAAAAGTATTTGTTTATTCTTATTAATATTATATTTTACCTTTCCAAACATATTCATTAAACTTGAGTGAACGATTAGTACTTCTTTCAAAGTAATGTCGTACTTCATATTTGTACAGTTAAGTGTAAAAGTTAGGTGTAAAAAGATTTACATTTTTTCACTTTATGTGAAAAACCGATGTATTGTAATTTATAATAGCTTTTTTAATATAAATATTTCGACTACCAACATTGGGTTAGCAGTAACTTGATGCAGAAAGGTTGTACTAACTGAAAGGTTAAACAAAACTTTGATTAAATTAGTCAGTGTGATTTTTTTGATGCAAAAGACTGTTTGCACGAAACTCGATGCTGGCCGAAATTTGCCAACTTACCCTAAAATTTTTGAAATATACTATAAAAGATATTTTTCTTTTTAGATGGAAAAATATCTTTTATAGTATATTTCAAAATCAGATATTCTATGAAATCTGTTAGAAAAGAAAAGTATATAAAAGAAAAATAGTGAATTACGTTACCTGAAATGATTCAATAGAATATTACAAAATTTTGTAATATTCTATTCAATCATTTCAGATAACGTAAAGCGTAGAGTTAACTTTAGTTTTATTTGCATCATTACGAAGGTGGCGGATACATTTTTGTAGATGTTTTTAAATACAAATAAATATATTAATAAATAAATTAAGATTAAGCAGATCTGGTAATAAATTTAAAAGTGGAATGTGATTGTTTTTAAGACTAAGTGTGATTGGATGGTTAGGTTTGTTTAAAATTTGATTAAGTGTGCTGAGACATGAAATCAAGATGTATTCCAATAGAAAGGATACCATAGTAGCTTGCATAATGTGGATCAATACCAGCAGCTTTTAGAAGGCTGTTTTGAAAGACTTGCATTCTAGATTTAGTTTTATTGGTCGTTGAGGTGAGGATAACTGC